GGCATTCTTCATTATGACTTGAGATTAGCCTCTAATTTTTTATTTTATGATTGCTTTTCTATTACTTCTCTTTGCCCGACTTGGATTTGATTTTATTGTATCTGTATCACTCATTTTTTGGCCCTTGATTCCATTGTGCTGCTCCTTGCTGCATTCTGACTGATGAATAAAATATTTTGAAAAATACCTCAAATCAAGGCAAGGAAATTAGGAATGTAAACGCGTGTCGCGACAAGACTGCTCTTTGTTACGATGAGTCCATCATTTATTATCTCCGAATCTCCCATTTTAGTGGAAACCCCTTTTGTCGCACATTATAGCGGGAATTCTTGAATCATTCCATGGAATTTGCTAGAAACGGACTTATGAACTATTACATTTATGGACACTTTTTATTCTCACTTTTTTCGCGTTGTTTGCATTTTCTTTGGCATTATGTTAGTGCAGATTCTTATTCAAATCTTTTTTTATTTGTTTTTCTCCACCCCCCCTAGCGCCTTGTTGAAGAAGGTTCTCATGTTAGCCTGAAGCGTTACCAAATTGATTCCACTCGCGTTGACCACGATCGTGTAGTCAATGAGATCCTGCGTTCCAGTGCCGCTCATATAACGCGTAAATTTTGTCTTTATATTGATCTTTTCATGCCTTTATCTATCTCATCTGACGTTTCATTAAAGGAGACTAGTAGCTAAGGTTATCGAGATTCATATTTACTTCTTGTAGTGTTATTTAGGCTTAAGATTTTTAAAATCTATTTTTATCTTGAATTTATATTCTAAGTTCTGATGCTTTTTCCATTTCCATGTGTAGGAAAACTTAGCATTGACTTTGTTTTATAAGCCTCTCTTAGGTTATATCTAAACATTGTTTAGAAACTCGATTTCTCAACTCGCGCTGTGCCATATCATTCGATTAGTAATGATCCCTACTGACGATATTACCTCTCATAATTCTTTGTACTTTGTTACCTTGTCTTAGTCATTTGTTAGTCTTCAGTCCTATATTTTTATCCCAAGTCCACGGTTTGACTGAAAATTATCATGGATACTACGGCTGATGACTATGGACAAGGTGCGTTCATCTAGGTCGCCCTGACAACAATACCAAGTTGCGAAAACGAGGTCAAATCACTTCTATACTCTTTTTGTATTCGCAATTAAAAATTTCCTCTTCAGTTTATGTTGCAACGTGATACAATCCACTTTCCTCCATTTAGTCAGTCCCTTGTGTTTATATGATCTCGTCAGCAAAATAATATATCCGAATTAAGATTGTAGGATTCCCTGTAACCTGTCTTCTTCTATTATTTAAATTGCGAATTTCTACAAAAAGATTTTCTACTTGAAGTTATGAAGATTAAGATGGTGTGGCCTTTTGTGTGATTACTGTTCACAGTCTCTGAGTGGCTGTTTTCACTTATGCTAGTCTCGCTCAAGTGCATACAGACTATAGTTGTTTGGCTTCGTTTAAATCTTACGATTTATATCCTTCCCTCAGATTTTAGATGCCAGCTATATATGTTAAAAATAGATCTAATTTTAATCTTCATACCTTGATTATTGAGCATCAGCCACAGTTGCCTACTCGATTCGTTGCTGAAATATAGCAAATATTTACCTATAAGTGAAATATAGCCTGTTTACAATCTTATTGCAGCACTTAGGATGAGCATCATATTATTATATACTTAGCACTAACTTCGCAAATTTTGCTTAACATTTTGTTGACATTTATTTGTAATTGTACGCAAAATAATCCTCCACTTGATTGCTTGCCATGACTCTCATAGGATATAAAAGGACTGATAGTTTTATTTCCTCACAGTGATTTGAGTAGGCTTTATGATGACATTGAATTTCACAGCCTTGTTTTTTAGAAGGTATTATCATATAGGCTCGATTGCACTTTTAACCTTGCCTGGGCCTCATCAACATCCATAATGGGAACTCAGCTCGGGTAGTACAATCTATATTTTCACTGCAACTGCGCCAAATCTGCTGACTCATGTGACCTCTAATTTTGCTTATCTACATATGTACGATACACAACAAAATGAAAAATTTTTGGACCATTTTATCTTATGCCCATTTTTTTCCGTCTGTTGTGCTTCCTCTGATAGTTGAACCCAACGCACACGTATTTAGTCACTCTTTGGAGAATGAGGCTAAAGGTCTATAAAATCAGAGCGACCACATCGACGCATTATTCTATAGCATTCTTCTCTGGATGAATTCGTTGTCTTATTTGATTAAGTATTCGAAGCTCTTAATCATACAATGCTATAAATGGAAAAGAGCCCAACAATTTTTAAGCTAAAGATCTCTCAGAGGTCAAATTATTATTTGTAGATACCTTGACGAATCTGAGACATTGTCTCGGATTATCTTTGCTCATAGTGACCAATCACGCGTTCTACAAAAAACCCGAGTTTACTAGAATCGAGTGCCAATAATGAGATATGTTTTTTTTCTATATTATATCTCAAATGATTTCCGAATTTTGTCTCATGCATTTAGATTTATTCTTTTAAAAAATTATTCAAGCGAATATACAATCTTTTGGGCTCAGATTTCTCTGGCTTTTTTCCTATATTGTCTCTGCAACAAATGCATTATCTGAGTTCATTTAGTTAGCCTATATTAAGGTCGTCCGGATTAATTAAAGATTACCCGACAATCTTACCTCCAAACTTGTGTCGACATATCGATTTATAGTGAACATCTTTCTATTACAGATTATTATCCTGAGACACTACTTCTGTACTCAATCATATTTAGTTAAAATTTATACCTATCTAATACTGCTCTATTGGTAAGCAGGCTACTTAATCTGTTTTTGTACTCTTAACATACTGATTTTACTCTTTATGCTGGATAGATGTCATGAAAGGCTAGGCCTCTTCTTATATATTTTTTTCATCTTTTTCTTGTTTTTTTTATCAGGTCACTGCTAAACCTTCCCATTGTTTTATCGCTCATCGTGAGTCCAGAGGGCATTTCAGTCATCAATGAGTCTTGCTTACTGTTTCCTTCCAGGAACTAGTTCATCAATCCATCCTTTCTCTTTGACTTCGTTTGTAAGGCAGTGCTACAAGGTGTGAGGGTGGTTAAGAAATCTATAGTAAGACTCATAACTTCAAAAATGTCTGCTAACAAAAAAATAGTTCTATAAGTTTAAACTAGTGAATTAACAGACATTCGATATATACTTCCACTAAATCGATTGTTATTTTGCTAACTATTCTCTCATTTACAGATATTCATCTTGGTTCTATATTTTTTTCTTTCGTCCGCATTTATTAGATATTCATTCTCCAAGATCTGTGGTTTGGTTCAATTTTTTTTTGAAATTTGCCCTCAGGCTTATTTCGTATTCTCGCATTCTTGTTGATAACTTTTTGTCACTATTCAAAACATTGTGTTGCATCAAGTATCACTGCTTATTTTTAAGCGTTCACTTTAGCTTCAAGAACCTACACTTTAAAAAGTCTATTGTGTTCGTTTTCTTTAATGGCTTTTGGATTTTATTAGTCACTCCATTATTTGCTTTCTTTTTATATCATTTTCCAAGTTTTGCTGTT